GGCACGCCTCCAAACCGAAGAGACTCTTTATTATGACATGGAGCATGATTATGAAAGAGCTTGTGAGGAGATACAGAGTTTGCGAGGTGCTCTGCTGGACTGTGAAAGGGTAGGTGAGGAACGCTTTCAAACCCAGCTGGTGCAGCAACAACGAGAGTTAGACAGGAAGGAATGTGAACTCCAGGAAGTGCTTCTTAAGATGGCCATCCTGGGCAGTAGTCTAGAGGAGACTGAACAAAGACTCAAAGAAGCTCAAACCCATCTTTCTGAAGGTAATGTTCTTTGTGAGACATTGATTGAGCCACAACAATGCAGACAGAAAGGGCAGAGGGATTTGGTAATGAAATCTACTTCTCAGGGAGACGAGTCACATAGAGTGATCTCTGTGATCCAGGCACTAGAGCGCAAGTTATGTGACACCGAAGAGCGACTCCGGGAGCTTACCATGCATCTTCAGCAACAGCAACAACTCAACACCGGACTGCATGCAATCAATGATTCTTGGTGCTCCCACAGTCCCCTACAGAATCCAGAGGGTCGTCTTTCTGTAGATTCTCAGCCGAGTTTTACTGGAGCTTTGCATAACCTGGAGGGAACGGCTTTAGACAAAACCGCAGACAAAGCTAAAGTCTCCCTTTATGATGATGGAAAAACTGGAAGCCGGAGGTTGGTTGGCGAGAGTTCAGGGAGAAATCAAGCTCTGGAGATGGTCAGCAGAGTTTCGTCACTGGAGGCACTGATTATCCAAAGGATTGCCTCTGCTCTTGAGCATCCCAGCTCAAAGTTGCTTAATAGATTGTCAGAGGTACATGTCCAGGTGCTTAGGATGGATCAAGGAGGCAGTCATAATGGGGCTGTAGAACCTAGATACTCTCAGATCTTCTTGGACCCTCTCGAACAAGATCTGTTAGACAATACGCTGAGTGAAAGTGCAATCCATAGACTGTGTTTAAGAGCAGAGATGGCATACCTCATACATACTCGCTGTACTTATCCCTCGCAGGAGCCAAAGGGATCTGAACTTTTTTATGACTTGCCATGGCCAGAGAGTTCCTCATCTGGAACCAAAATGGAAAACTGTTCGAAGCAGGGGACCAGACTTGCTGACATTAGCCCGCCAGAACTTGCACCTTACAGTGAACAAACAGAGGACGAACTGGCGACCGATCTTTTCATTGAGGGCTCTGAGGTACAGCTTGCTTCTAGAAAGAGTCTGGTGGTAGAGCTCCGTGCTCAGGCCCAGTCACTGCAGAACCTCTCAACACAGCTACAGTCTAATGTTAGAGAGGTCGACTTTCCTGGTGAACTACCCTCAGCCATCCTGAGGGCTGCAACGTGTCAGGCCACTTTAGCATACATGGCCTGTCGTCTCCGTTCGGCCCTGCAGCAGGAAATGAGTGCCCTACGCAAGCAGAGAGAGCAGGCTAAGTGTGAGTGTAGTGCCGTGTGTCGTAGTATGGAGGCTATGTTCCAGGAACAGACAGAGCATTATGAAGAGAAGCTGCGTGAGGAACGTGTTGTTGTCAAAAAGGCAGAACAGGAGCGTGTTTCAGCAGAGACCAATGCTCAATTGAGGAGGGAAGAAGCAGAAAATTTGCAGTTGGAGTTTGAGGAGAAGCTCCAGGAGCTCCAGAAAATCCATGAAGAAGAGATGAGCCGTCTCCATGAATACTACATTCAAAACTTGTCAAAGCCAAAAGCTGCAACCCCCTCAGAACTAGAGGTGAGTGAAGAGACTGAGCAGGTTTCTGTGACCGCTCTGCAAGCCCGAATCGGAGAGCTTGAGACTGAGATGACTTGTTTGAGGGATCTTAGCAACCAGGATGTCAAGGCCTTCCAGCTTGACCTGGAAACCATCAAGGTATGCACAGCTTTCTTGTTACAGCATGAATTAATATGTAATTATAGACAAAAATGAAGGTACTCCATATCTTTTGTATCTTAGGCCACGTATGAGCATGGTTTCAGCATTATGGAGGACAGCCACCAGCGAGTGATTGAGGAGATGCAGAGGCAGCATCAGAGAGAGGTGGAGAGACTGACAGAGGAGAGAGAAAGATTACTGCAGGAAGAGACAAATGCCACCATTGCAGGTGCTACTCTCAACAAAAGCTACCATTCATTCAGCTCAAACAGCACAAACACAGCAGACCATATAAGTACATTTGGGCTACAGCAAAGACTACAATAGAGTACATGGCACAATTCACTAAACTGAACAGAATTGTACTGAAAGACATAGTTAACTCAAAAATGTTTATCATTTATTTTCATTACAAATCTTTAAAATGTGCATTCCTGCTCTTTTGTAATGCTATAAAAGTGAGTGGGAAACAAGGTCAGCTGTGGTCACCATTACATTTTATTGTGAGAAAAAGAGCGGCTTGGACATTCTGCGAAGTAACTACTTTCGAGTTCCTTGTAAGAAGTCAAACAGATCTGAAAGTCATGAGGTTGAGTAAATGACAATTTTATTTTAAAGTAAACTTTCCTTTTAAGCATTCTTGCACAATGCAAATAAAGAGCAGAAACATGCATTAGAAAACTATACAAAGCTAAATAAAAAATTAAATGTATACTACTCTCTTGTATTTAACTATGGATAAAAGCATCTGCTAAATGAATACATTTGTTCTCTGCATGCTTAGAAATACAAATGACAGTTCTATCTGACTATTTTTTTATATTATTTGTTGTTTTCCAGCCATTGAGGCTATGAGGAAAGCTCACAAAGCGGAAATGGACAAGACTCAGAAAGCCCTGCAAAATGGAGCCGGTGTGGACATCCGCCAGCTTCATGCACAATACAAGTGCGTGTGTGATGACTATCATTAATCTGAGAACTGTCAGCCACGCCATCAAAAATCAATTTATGGTTGCAGAACTGTATATTAACCATATGACTCTTTGTGTATTTTCTGCAGTGAGGAGCTAGAAACATTGCACAGGGAGCTTGAGGTGTTGTCAGAGCAGTATTCTCAGAAATGCTTGGAAAATACTAATTTGACACGGACTATAGAAACAGAAAAGGAAGCATTGAATACAACACAGAGAGAGAACCAGGAGCTTCGCATTCACAACCAGGTACATCCACATGCACACACAAAAATGAGCATATTCACACAGCCATTGCTTTACTGCTTACCTTACATATGTTTCTAAGGAATTAAATGAGTTTTTGGCTGCTGAATTATCCCTGATGCATTCACACATGAATGGGGAGGTGAAGCATTCCCAGTCTTCTCAGGAGAAAGACATGTATCAGCTGGAGGTAAAACTTGACACCCTTTCATATGGCAAAGTGCCCAAATTTGACTTGTGCTACTAAAATTAGAAGGGGATGGTTGACTGAACGCAGATTAAAGTTGCACTCTGGGTTGAGTACATTTAATCGGCTTCCACAAAAGAAGCCTTCATGGGTTTACATGTGTAAAAACAGATGTGCTCTGTCTCATTCTTTGATGCTGTAGGTAAATCTCAGAGTAAAGGAATCAGAGATCAAGTGTCTGAAACAGGAGATCAACTCACTTAAATTGGAACTGCAGGCAGGAAATACGGTAACACCTTTTTCAGTTAAAACAAATCAATAGTTTGAGGCATTGATACTAGGGATGGGAATGTTGAGTAATTTTGTAGTCTGTTAATACAAAAAAATAATAATCTATTATTATAAGTAAAAAATTATGAGTATGAGATGTTTGTTATATTTTGTTTTATTCACAAATGTTAACCATAATAGTTAACAAAATAAGTTAATTCAACCAGTGCTTACACAGAGAATACTTCTTTTAAATGTTTTTTCTTTTAGTATTTTAAAGAGCTGGACTCTGAGCTGGGTGCTTCAGAAGTCAAAACTAAAAGTGACTTCGCTAAACTGAGGATGGTGCCAGCAAGACAGCAGAGTTTAAAATATGGTAAGCAAATCTACCAGAACAGACATGTTACTGTGAAGGCAAACAGATAAGTGCATAAGCATGCACTTATTGACAATTTGTAAATGTCTGTTGCAGATCTGACGAAATCCAGGAGCAGCCCAGGCTTCCTGAAGGACCATGCTACACTTACGCAGCCTGACAGATCCAAGGTGGTATCATCTGTGCCATTACATGGTACAAAATACTGATGTTCCCTCAAATTTAAGCTTTCTCACTATCTCTTTTTAATTCTCAGAGTCTTAAAGATGGACACACTGTTCTGGAGAGGATGAAGCTTTTTGAATTATCTAGCACGCAAAAGATTTAAATGTGTCTGTGTGAGAGAGGGAGAGAAAAAGAAGCATTTTAATGTCTTATGTGGGTTAAATTATTTAATTGTATATCTTTATAACACAGTGAATTATAACTATACCTTTAGTCACAGGTGTGTTTGTGTGTGTACGTCAGTCATTTAAATTTTTGCTTCGTTACTACTTTAGACAGTAGAGTTATTTTTTTTTATATGAGGTTGTCTCTCTAAATCTTAAACCGTCTTTGTTTCTATTTACATGTTTATGCCTGATTGAGCATCAGTTGATTTGCTTCATCTCTAATTATGAATAAAGTTAAGCTTTTCCTATCTTTAACGTCTTGTTTGTGTAACTTTTCAACCCATATGTGCAGATTTTAAATACTGCTAAGGATAAGCAATTTTATCATTATTTTTAATATCAGATTATTATATTTTTTTCATTTTTAAGGCATCTGATAAACAGTCCTCATACTGTAAATGACACGGTCACTGACATCTTCCTTTACCAAGCTTTTCCTAACTTTTTTGTTTTTAGCCAGAGTAAATGTGAACTATTCATATCACACATAAAAGCTCATTTAGTATGTAACTTAAAAGTGCCACGTCGCGATTGCTTCAAACAAACTAAAATCAAAGTGATGTCACTTGGCTACTACAAATTTCTGTAGTACTTTTTTTAACCACTAGATGTCGTGCTTCGCCTGGAAACCTGTCGGCCTGATTCCTTACAAAGTTGCTAGTGCAAAGAGATTTTACCTGCTGCTGCTTTTATGCTCAGATGTTAATAATAAGATTCCACTATTTATATTTTCCGAGTTTTTTGTCGGAGATTTAAGAAGTCCTGTTTGACCCAGGTATTTGATACGTTTCATTATGTGTTACTGAATCTGCATATAACTTAGCCAAAAAAATTAACCGGTAGCATCTGAACATAAGGACGGGTAACTTAGCTCTATTTTCCTCATTTAATACGGGCTCGATATCGTTTCTCTCCTTTATGGGTCTTAAAATGTTTTGCTTGCTTATAAATCTCAGTAAAGCTGTGTTTTCATGTGTAGGCTACAGAAAGGGAGAGAAGAGCGCGGCAGGTGTGCGGGCTTGCTAATTAAATTTCTGACGGCTTCTTTGTCAGTAATTGCTTATAAATAATGCATGTTGCTTTGAAACGATGATCTCTTAATTATGTTAAATTTTCAAAACACTGATTAATTTTAAAAATGACAATCCCTAATTCTCTCTCTTCTCCCTCGAACCAAAAGTGTGTGCGAATGTCCAGTCTATTCAGCTCGTGTCAGAGCATTTGTGTTACCTTGGAAGCTTATTGAAATCTGCATGACACTCACTGAAGTTTCTAGGTCTCAGCTCCTCCACCTGAACCATGTTTTCATCGTTTTATAGAAATGGTAAGAGAAGTCTTGTTTTTATAACAGGTAAATTGACATTTTAATTTGAAAACACTTGAAGTACTGACTTGCTTAAAGGGGTCATATGATGCGATTTCAATTTTGCCTTTCTCTTTGGAGTGTTACAAGCTCTTGGTGCATAAAGAAGATCTGTAAAGTTGCAAAGACTAAAGTCTCAAATCCAAAGAGATATTCTTTATAAAAGTTGTCAACCACGCCTACCTAAAACGGCTCGTTCTAACACACCTCCACATGTCTACCTCACTATGTGGGAAGATTTGCATAACGCCACCCGAATGTTCACGCAAAGAAAGAGGGTGTAACTTTTATTCTCGATGTAACGTTAGTATTGTTGTTGCCGCCGCCGCCATGTCGTGAAGACGCTGTGTGTTTCGTTGTGAAAGCGAAACTACTTTGTTTGGCCTTCCAAAAGAGGACGATATCTGCTTCGTCATGCCTGGAGCTGATCCGTGCTGGTCGCTAATGAAATACATCAACTTCGCGCTGTCGATCGCCAGATCGGCTTTCACCGTGGACTAAGCGGAGTCCAGCCCGGGGTCATCACATGTGGTTGCCGCAAGCCCTCCGGACACTCCTTTCGTCGAATTCACCGGCCACGCCATTCTCAAGCCCACCCGCCACCGCTCACTCTAGCCCACCGTGTGTGACGCTGTGTCTCGTTGTGAAAGTGAAACTACTTTGTTTGGCCTTCCAAAAGAGGACAAAATTAATTTAATATAAAAGATTATTATTAATATTATTATTATTAACTTTTTTCCCCAAAGACTACACAGTTCTCAGTTCTCTTCTGGAGTTAAATTAATTAATATATCGACATTCCATAAATATAATTTTTATGAATTGTTAATAAACTTTTTTTTTTTTTAAATAAGCATATTTAGAGTATTTTTATCATATTTAGAGCAAAATATACCAGAGGAAATATTATAGCTTAGCCTATATGAGGAATAAGGAATTGAAGGAATGAAAGGAAAAATAAATGTGTATTTTGTGTTTGTGCTGTGTGTAAAGCAAAGAGGGAGGATCATGCAATGGAGAATTTGGTTTCTGTATCAGTAAATGTCACACTACACACGTATATACACACACACACGCACAGTACTGGAATCACATAATTTAATACTTCATAATTTAAGACTTCATGCAGTTGAAGGTGAGATTTGATACAGATTTAATGGTTGTAAAATGCAGCTGTTTTCCTGGAACTCGGTGTATATATCCTCATACTCTCACACTCTCTTTTTAATCCAGCTACACTACTCATGACAACTCTGGTTTAATACTTTTTCCCATTTAATTTTAGATTGTAAATCCCCTGATTGTGTAGTTCTGATTCATTAAGGTTCACTTCTGGTTGCTATTGCTGAGAAGAAAATTGTCTGCGTCATGGTGTGCTGTTTAGCTGCGATGTGCATGTTGATCGTTTTGTCTTTCCAAAAGTCTTGGGCTCTTAACTTTTTTCCCCAAAGACTACACAGTTCTCTTCTGGAGTTATAATTAATTAATATATTGACATTCCATAAATATAATTTTTATGAATTGTTAATAAACTTTTTTTTTTTTAAATAAGCATATTTAGAGTATTTTTTATCATATTTAGAGCAAAATATACCAGAGGAAATATTATAGCTTAGCCTATATAAGGAATAAGGAATTGAAGGAATGAAAGGAAAAATAAATGTGTATTTTGTGTTTGTGCTGTGTGTAAAGCAAAGAGGGAGGATCATGCAATGGAGAATTTGGTTTCTGTATCAGTAAATGTCACACTACACACGTATACACACACACAGTACTGGAATCACATCATTTAATACTTCATAATTTAAGACTTCATGCAGTTGAAGGTGAGATTTGATACAGCCAGTAATTATAGATAAACCGTTACCATGGTTACAGTTATCACCATGGTTATGTATTATGATTCCCTTCCAATGACCGACAGCAGGATACCCATAGCTCGATAGCAAGATTTGTTATATAACAGTATTTGAATATGTTACAATTGTAAAGTCATATATGAACTTCACCTATTGCTCAAATTAGGTTTCGCTCATTTCTTTCTTAGTAATTTTTGTGCTTAAATACAGTTCAATATTAGAGTGTGGAGATATTAATCGGTGAATACTCACACTTCACTCCCTCGCATTACAGTGACATTTGTTTCATGATAGATTACACCGCTTCTGACAGAAAATGATTCATCTATTAACTGTTGTTTGATCGATTTTTTTTTTCTTGATTGTATCCTCATGCCAGTGTTGAATTGTTTTCCTAATTCTCCCTCTCCATGTTTAAATGAGCTAATTTAAAATCTTCATGCAGCTGATGGTGAGATTTGATGCTTTAATTGTTATACAATTCACCTATTTACCTAGACCTCATTGGTGCAAACATCCTCAAATCTCCTTCGCTCTAACATCCATCTGCACAAAGTTACACATCACCACTTGCGTTTATGTATTTTTGTTTAATATTAGAATGTAAATCCTGTATTTTATGCAGGCAGTTCTGATTCAGTAAGGTACACTTCTGGATCCTATTGCTGAGAGGAACGTTTTTATTGCATTTCAGATTTAGAATTTCTCTGTTGTATCACCACTTTTTTCCCTCTCTGCGGGAAAATCCAGATCTTGTCGTAGGTGGGTTTACATGAGGGCCTTTCGCACCGCGGGAACCTTTTCATAGTACCAGAACTAATTGTGGAACTACCCACTTTGGTGTTTTCGCACCGCCGGAACAATTTTAGTACCGGACTGCCTTTTTCGAGAACCAAATTAGCTCCTTCTCCGGAGCAGGGTCTAACCAGCACAACTGGTACTACCCGTGACGTAAGTAGACATTGATTGGCCAAACGTGTACGAAAACGCCCTCACCCGCCATGATTTAAAACGCTGTGTAAACATACTGTAAACATTGTGTCAACTTATTTCGGAAGTATGGAGAACAGCGATAGATGGACGGACGCTGATTTGAAGGCACTTGTAGCAAATGTAGCACTGCCAGTTGTCCTTGGAGATTCTTAGTCCTCCTTTCCGTTCTTTCAATCGCTTTACGTATACGTCAACTTTTCATGTCCATTATTGAGAAACCCGCGAGACGCAACAAAAACACAACTCCGATCACAGCGTCCTCCATCCTCCTGTTGTTAATGTTGTTCTTCTTTGGTTATGTTGTTGAACGCCGCGCACAAATGACGTCGCTGTTGACCAGCTTATGTTACTTCTTAGTACACACTGTCGGTGCGAATGCAGCCCTTTAAATGGTACTGGGAAACAGTTTGCGCAAAATCGTCCCAGTACTTTAGTAATGTACATTTAGTTCTGGAACTAAAGCGGTGCGAAAGGCCCTATGTTTTCTGGTCCCAGCTGATCATTTATGGTCTTTAACTCACCCAAGCTGCTTGGTTGATCAGCTGGAAAACCTGCTAGTAACCTTGGTTTTTATATTTAGACCAAATTGGTCAAGCTGGTTACCTCTTTGGACCAGCAAAAAACAGCTAGCACAATCCAAAAATCAGCTTGAGCACCTTAAACTGGTATGACCTAGTTCTTCCTGTAGGGCTAAGCTCATTTGCTAGAAAGTACCTCACTGTTTTATATCTATCTTGCCACCTTTTCTGAAGAGCTGAAATCACCATGAGCTGACTCACTTTCACCCTCAGAAACCCAGCTGAAGAGGTTCTGAGGACGTGACCTGAAAACAGCCGTGCTGCTCCATAAAATAGTGTGAATAATGACTCCATTTTCCTTTCATAACCAGGCAGCATTTTAAAAACAATAAACTGTTCAACTGTAGGTTATATGATGGTTTTGTGGTGTAGTTTAGTGTAGTTCTGTATTTTTGGAAAGGATTATGTGGAGAAGGATCATCTCTTTTTCCTCCCTTCTCTGCGAAAGAGGATGACTTTGGCTATAATCTACCTTGATGAAACGTTTATTTAAACCATTTTATATAGTGCATTCTTTATTTAATCAGGCACACTTATTTGCCCCCACAGAGCAAAGTGATGGATGAGGTGAGTGGGTGAACGCTCTCTTCTTTGTTCCTTCTTTGTCTCTGGCTCTCGTTCTCACCTCTCCTATTCTCTTTGCTCTGGTTTTGAAAAGGAGGGAGATAGTCACGACGATCACTAATTATCACGTAAGATACCAGAGGTGGGTGGTTAGTGTTGGTCTGTTGTTAGATGCATGTTGAAATTGATTTCTACAAGCTCTTAGGTTAGTTTACGAGTGGAAAAACTACTTGTATAATTAAATGAACTCGTATTAAGCTGAATGTTTCAACCATGTGAGACGAACAATGCATGGCAAATTGCTTATAAGAAATGTTTATCTTACTAAATTTATGCTTAAAAAATTATTACTGAGATAAGAAAAATAAACATTTAAATATATGCATAATTGTACACAATTTTACTTTTCAAGTATATTCTTTACTGGAAAACCAGATGAAAATACTGATGAAGAAAATGTTTTTCGCAGTGTGCCATAAATCCGATACTGACTTTACATTCTTTAGTTTCTACCATAGAAGTAGCTTTTTGTATTGATCATTTTCTTTCACATTCGCAAGTGGGCAGCTGTTTTGATACTGAGGAAAGAAACGCAAATAAAGGTCATATTGAAGTTCACACCTCATAAAACACACACACTAGCACAATGTAACTGTTGCTTTAGCAAAACATGTAATGTTGTAAATATCTTGTTTCAGAGCAACACTTAGAAACCACAACTTATGAGTTTGATTATGCCACTAAAGCAACATGAAACAGATGTTTTTCCTCTGGCTGTCATTGTAAGTATACACGCAGTTTTATTCAAGGGTGTGTGGCCTGAGTATGAATGTGAACGGTGTGGTATGTTGTGAAGAGTTTAACTGTATCCTATCATGCCTTATCTTTCATTCATCAACTCACATACTCATACAATATATTTTTCTACTCACTTTCTAATACTGAATAAATAGCTTTGTGT